TGCCAGATCAAACCACCTTGTCCAGGAGGTGTCCAGAGTGACATATGTCCTTCCACTTATAGTTCATTGGCCTGAAATAGTCACTTGGTCTCAGCTTAAGGGGAGGGAAGCTGGGAAATATAGAGGAACACATGGATAGATGGTGAGCATAATAGTTTCTGCCACACTGTAACATATTTCCTAGAAAGCTTTAGTAATATTTATATCCAAGGATGAAAAAAAATCTAACATGCCATAGATATAAGAAGTCCACAGCCTACTTGCACAGGACTGTCCAAGTGCACCTGGTATTTTTTGCTTTTTATAAATCTAATATGAAAGCCATAGCTATCTCAAACATAGGAATGGAATGACTTTCCTTTTTTACTGCTGCTAAGATATTGCACAGTATGAATTATTTTAATAGCCTCCCTCATTCTGCAAAATATTAGGGCACAACATAGAATAATATAGTGAACTTATATAAAACTTTAAGTGAATAGAAAAATACACATTGTACATTATGATCACCAACCTGCTATGTTAAAACCTTTTGTTTCTTGGTCTCCAGTAAAATAAGCTCAGTGTTCTAATGTTCAATCCCTGTGTAAAGTAGTCCATCACAAAACCATCACCCTCACTTTAGCACAATTGGCAGTCACTATTCACATAAAACAGAAAAATAAGTTACCACTGAGACAAAGCCAATTCTGCTCTCCAGAATGGCCGATTCTTCCAAGTCAGAAGAGATTTTTACCAGAAAAAAAATCACATAAAGTACTCATAGAAACTGGCAGTCCAAAATCTGTAGTCAGTAACTGTATAGATAACCATGTATAGATTATCTCAATGGAATACAAAAAAAATATTGCACTAAAAGATAATCCTATGTAATCACTGTTTACGAAATAAAACCCAATGTCCTTCTAAACAGTGTAGAAAGTTTAAATTATCATGTGTTTTCTGCCTCTACTTAGTGCTTTATTAATGGGGTGACCATGCTGTTTGACCTATTTGCTAAAATTTGCTAGACCTCCAGGAGAACATATGGACATCCAGATGGGTTGCTGTAATTTAATGCCATTATTCTAAGGATGAAGTAAGGTATAAACATAATTTGCATTCTTTTCCATCCTTCCTGCATACCTTTTATTAGTTTCATTTTTAATTCAGACATCAGAAGGGAAGATAATACTTTGCTACCAAAGCCCAGATGCCAACTAATTACTACAAGAGACTCCAGTCCTGACATCACAGGCCAAGACTCTGAACACGCTCTGTCTTACTCAGTGACCCCACAGTAGTGATTAATAGGTTGAGTGCTAAGCCCTAATGAGTGTGTCAGATCTTAGGTGTTCTCTAGGCTAATGCAATTAGCATTGAGTTGAACAGAATATTTCAGCTACTTGCTAGAGAGACTCATTATACTTTACAGTAAACTATGCCTTTTCACCTTATGGTCTTTAAATTTATTTTATAATCATCAATCTAATAGACTCCTATAAATAGTGATATTTCACATACTAGAAGAAAATTTAAGTATTTTTAAATCAAATACTGATTTTCTTCTACAAGCGTGAACCCCTATGTTGTATATAAAGTGAAGTTGTTTTCAGAGACACTTGTTAAAATTCAAGTTTCTGAACTCTAGCAACAGAAATCCTTATAAAAGGGGATTTAGGATAAGGCCTAGGACTGCATTTTTAACAAGATTCATGATTCAGAAGCAAAGCATTCTATAGACCACACTTGAAGAAAAACTGCAGTGTAACAAGACTAATACCTGTGTCTTAGATTAACTGACTATATTAGACTTTTTGTTCTAAATAGTTAATATGTTTCTGAAAAAATTATCTGCATCCGCATTAAGAAAATTGTTTCCACATCGGATTATAATTTTAAATGTGCCAATAATTTTTTGGTTAAAAGATTAGAAACTAATTATCAGAGTAAGACATAGATGTTATTTCCAACAAACTATGTAAACTTATAAGATCTATATTCAACAGCGGACATGGCAAGTAAAAACATTTCATTCACTAGACAATGGGCCTAGAATTGTTTTTCCAGTTTTAAAAGAAGGACCAAAGGTGAGCAGAACTTCTGCAATTCCTGACTTTTCTCCATGGCCAGAGATAAAATATGTTTACATATTTTAGCCCTGATAACAGAGGACTTTAGGTAACATTTCAAGTACTTACTTGTATCTCACCTAGATATAACCATCATCAATTACTACATACTAAGAATTTGTATGTATCTAGAATTACTTTCACAAAACAAGGATACATAAAATCCTTATTCATATTTAACTTAGACATTCTTTATTTATCTATTACCCTAAAAATTTTAAGGCAGCTTTTCCCAAATTTATAACTGTTTTAACAAACTACCATTCTCTTCATGAATTTCAAGAGTTCTTTTGTGCTTTTATACCATATATTTATACCATATATTAAAAATTTATATTTATACCATATATTAAAATAGAAAAAAGTATGAATAAAATTAAAATATTTATCTGTAGTAAATATAGTATGGTTATTTACTTATTATAATTTCATATTGAGATTTAGTGGTTTGAAAAAGTTAATTATGCCATTGTTTATTCTAATGTTCCTTTTGGATCCAGCCAGAGGGTGGAGTGCTGTCCTATGACCATGGCAAGTCTATAAACGCACGCTTTTTTTTCTATGGTGAATGTTGAGATATCGAGCTCTGTCTTGGACTGGCTGGATGTTATGTATTTCTGTTTTTTTCCTTTAGGAAGGCTGCATTTCCCAGCATCCATGCCCCCTGACTCTGGGTAGGGCAGTATAAGAGTTCTGATCAATGGAATATACACAGAAATAATGTTTATTCCTTCCAGGCCTACCATCTAAAATATTCCATATGATCTTATATGCTGTCTGCCTTCAGTCTTTGTCCAGCAGATGGAGCAGATTTAGGGAACAATATACAAAGCCTTAAGTGATGAAATAACCACCTGTTGAAATATTGCTTCAGCAAGAAATAACATGTATTGTTTTACAGCATGTAAGATCATTTGGAATAAGTCTTTGAGACACTGAGGTCTGAAAACGAATAGAGAAAGTAAATTAAGATCTGACTTAACTAAAACACTATATAAAATTATCTCCTACTGATGAGTATCAACTCTCTGCTCAATAAGAAATTATGACTATACAAGACCTGAAGACAAAATTCATTGGACCCATATTAATTCACTAGAAAAGACTGTTTGAATTGTATTTAAGAAGAAAAAAAAAAAACCCTACATATCTTAATATGAGCGCCTTTTGGAGCTCAAGTCAAGATGACTATGTGCTGCTCTAGCTAAGCATCATTAAACAAGACCTGACCCACAGGATAGAGGAATATCTACTCTACAATACCTACAGTTTCTATAGTCACAAGAAATAACATTCTTACAATCTATAAAGCAACTGTCCAAAGGAGATTCACAGAATGTATGTTAGAAGCAGAATTTTTAATTGACATGCCCAAATAGCATTTAAAGGACACTTTTTGATACTGGGGAAAAAAAATGCATGTTTAACCTAACCAAATGGATAAGGGAAACATATGCTGTATTAATACAAAATCACTATATACAAAAAGTAGAAAACACATTCCAACACCAACTCACATAAACACACACACACACACACACACACACACACAGAATTATTTCAGGATCAAATGTTTACCTTTGTAGTACAACAAAAAGATAATGTTCTAAAGAATAATTATGTCACTGAACAAATGATGTTGGTAGAAATAGTATACAAGCCACTGAACTGAAGTGGAAACAATAATAAATCAGGTTTATAGAAGGCCTGGGCCAGACCTGGCTCTGTCACTCTTTAGATGTAAAGAGAAAGATGTGAGAAAGTCAGAGACCATAGGTATTAAATGCTTGGAGCTGCAGTCTCTATTTGCCACTAACAAGCTGTTTGACTTGGGAGAGCTATTTTATCTATTTCCTCAGCTATGGAATAAAGAGAAGATAACACGTTTTTCATGGATCATTAAGAGGATTAAGTCATATCACACATATTAAGTACTTAGGCCTTGGGTGAAAGTAAATATTAATAAATACTGGATATTATGCTAATGTTACATCTCCATAACTAAGAGCCATATTATCCTTACTTGAAAAATAATAAATTGCAGAAGATAATTGATATAATTTCTTTAAATTACTATAGTCCGAGTCTATATCTATCCTTTAAAGTCAAATATCCGCTTGAAAAATAAAAACTCTAAAAGACATATATTTTAAGTAATGACTTTCAAAAGATTCTATAAGATGGTCTGGTCTGCTATTGGGATTGACTTAAAGAAAATAAGTGACATAATAAGGCACTAGTAATTCCAATTTTTTCAGCATTTAGAAGTGTGATGGTATTTTGATTTATGCATTATCCTTCATGACTCATACCCTAATTTGAACATAGAATGTAATAAGATAATTGTCAGGCAACCATTTAAATTAAGAATATGTCATATTTAATGAGTCTTATAGAGATAAATAATTATTTCAATCACACAAATTTGAATGGGTCTAGAATGTACATGTTAACCCTTCATTTTGCAGCTTAAAGTGATGTACTTTCTGTGCTTCTAAACTGTCAGCAACTTAAATTTCCTTCTCATTCAGAAGAAAGCATTTCTACCAGAGGTAGCAACAATGAAAAATGACACGAGCACTATAACGTGGACTTTATTTCAAACTAAATGAAGTAGCTTCAATTGGAAATTCCATAATTTAGTAAATCTTGCTTTGTGTTTACAAATGCTTATTCAAACAAATCCTCTACTCAATTATAAGCGAAGAGCTCAAGATGTTGAATCACTAAAATCATTGAAAGTTCAGTTCTAATTATACTTTTGATTGGTTTTAAGTGATTATAACATAAAAATGGGGTTTTAATATACCAAGACGCAATATGTAAAACATTGTGACATGAAGGAATTGTTTTCTTAATTCAGGATTCTATTTATTGCAAGAAGCTTACCTCCTGCGTACATAACAGCCAGCATAATGGATGATATCCATGCTATTTCACTGTAGGTAGTATGGAATATTTGCTGAATTTCTTTGAAGAATACGGTGACGGCTTTGGGGAACGCGTAGGAAAATCCAATGGAGATAAAAGCTGCTCCAACCACAATCCAGCCCCATCCTCCATCTGGAGGTGGATGCAGAGGCGGGGCACTTGACATTGGTGGCATTTCTGCTCCTCTAATGGAAATTCAAGTAACATATATTAAAAAAATGAAATAATGCTTTAAACTTTATTTCCCCTTTTGTTTACCACTCTTGATAGTGACTAATATAGTATTTTCTAGTTCAAACTAAAATACGATTTTTCATGAATATTTTTCATACTTATACTCAGAATATATACCAAAAAATTGATGCAAGTTATATATCTTTGATTATTATAGGCTAAATATTGAAAGAATTTAATTTGATTATTGAAACAAAAATTACTCAAAATGAAGTTAAGAATTTAGATCTGAACTGAAGTACCATGTTACACTATACATCAGACATATCTCTAAGATATATCTCATACATATTCTACTTCAGTTACCAGTTGTTTTAACCTCATTAATCAATACTTAAGATCTCATTTTTCCTTCCTGTTTAAGCCTAGGCCAATGAATGAAATGATGCTTGCATAGCCTTTTGACATGATCTACTGGCTTTTTTCATTGCTTTCTATTGTCTACCCTTTTTGATGATTGTAGAGAAATTCTAACCCACTATTTTTTTTTTTTTTTTTTTTTTTTTTTTGGAGATGGAGTCTCGCTCTGTTGCCCAGGCTGGAGTGCAGTGGTGCAATCTCGGCTCACTGCAACCTCCGCCTTCCAGCTTCAAGTGATCCTGCTCCCTCAGCCCCCCTAGTAGCTGGAATTAGAGGCAGGCATCACCATACCCGGCTAATTTTTGTATTTTTGGTACAGATGGGGTTTCACCATGTTGGCCAGGCTGGTCTTGAACTCCTGACCTCAGGTGATCCACCCTCCTCAGCCTTCGAAAATGCTGGGATGCTGAGATTACATATGAGAGCCACTGCACCCAGCCCCCACTATTTTTTAAAAATAAAAATTATAGGCCGGGCGAGGCGGGTGGATTGCAAGGATAAGTTTGAGACCAGCCTGGTCAATATGGCAAAACCTCAACTCTATTAAAAATGCAAAAGTTAGCTGGGTGTGGTGGCACGCGCTCGTAGTGCCAGCTCCTCGGGAGGCTGAGGCAGAAGAATCACTTGAACCTGGGAGGTGGAGGTTGCAGTGAGCTGAGATCGTGCCACTGCACTCCAGCCTGGTGACAGAGCAAAACTCTGTCTCTAAATAAATAAATAAATAAAATATATTTAAGTTATAAAACATGATGCTTTGTTATACATATTCATAGCAAAATGATTACTACAGTTACCCTTATTAATATACCCCTTTCCTCATAGAGTTACCGCTTTTCTTTTTTGTGCTCAGAACACCTGAAATCTACACTGTTGGCAAATTTACAGTATATTATACAGTATTACTGACTATACTTATCCTACAAAACTGCAACTTTGAACCCCTTACCAAACATCTCTCTGTTTCTTCACTTCCCTAACCCTGGTAACCAACGTCTGTTCTCTGCTTCTGTGAATTTGACTGTTTTGGATTTCACATACAAATGAGATCAGGAAATACTTGTCTTTCTGTGTCTGGTTTATCTCACTTGGTATAATGTCCTCTAGGTTTATCCATGTTGTCACAAATGGCAGATCTATCTGGCTACTCCTGAATTCGATCAACAACTACATTTTCTTTCTTTTAATTTCTAACATTATAAAGTTATATTATAAAAGAGGGCTCTCCAAACTTTTCTTGTATCCTAACACAGTTATTAATAATTTTTCATATTTCTTTTCATTGTTTTTCTATATTCAAAGATTTCTGATTAATTGAAATAATGTGGTGATCCTACAAATTACAGATACAATTGTGAACACTGCTTTTTTCACATTATGATTTTTTAATTAATTGCCTTTTTTACTAATTTTCACCTTTTGGCTATACAATTTTTACACAGTATGTAAAATACAAAAAGTATAAAACACAGTTGCCAAATAAGGCTGGGAGTGACGGCTCACACCTGTAATCTCAACACTTTGGGAAGCTGAGGTAGGAGGATATCTTGGGTCTGGGATTTCAACACCAAAGCAACATAGTGAGACCCACCGCTTGACAAAAAAAAATCTTAAAAATTAGCTGGGTGTGGTGGTGTGTACATGTAGTTTCCAGTTACTTCAGAGGCTGAAGGGGAGGATCGTTTGAGCCTAGGAGTTCAAGGATGCAGTGAGCTCCGATAGAGCCAGTGCACTCCATCCTGCGTGACAGAGAGAGGCCCTATCCCTAAAATTTTTTTTTCACTAAAATGAAATAGCTAAATAAGACTTTTAATTGCCACAATAATTTATATAGAAAATACATCCTTTTTAATCGTTTTGTTTTTTCTTATATTTTACATCTTATTTATATAATCGTATATTAAAAATTAACATTTTTATATATTTACTTGTATCTATTAAATATTTATGGGTACAATGTGAGACTTTGATATCTGTTTATTTTTTTAAAAGCAGTCTCAAATTATTCTTTTACAGGAAGTACTGGTATAAATGATAAATATACCTACAATTCTATTAGACAATGTAGTGAAAAAAATTTTGGGAATTGTTAAATGGTATGAGAAAGGCAAATCCTTTTGATTTTTCCAAGAAAATACAATAAAGTAAATTTAAAGTTATTCCTGACTAAATACACACAGACAAAATATGGCAGTAGATACAGTGGCATTAAGTTGATGGAATAGTTTCAAGAGTTTAAATTACTCGTCTTACTGAATTAATGCATGATACTAAAAGTAACCTATAATGTAATATATAGGTATACAAAAATGGATAAAGGGATCTCAATAAATATTGTGTACTTATTATGCTAAATAAATGCTTTTATCTTTAGTAAGTATCCCCTCTATTCAGTTTTGTTTCAACAAAAACCTTTAAGGTATTTTTTCTATTTTTTTATATGTGACAAATTTCAGAAATATTGAGAAACCTGACCCAAGTGAAATAGTAATGGCAGGGACTGTATTTTACTAATCACAGCTGACTTTACAAATTATATAAATAGAATTAGAAATAAGACTATGGAGTATAATGCAATTTATGGAGGAAAAAAACTCAGCATTTTTATTATCTCCTCTTTGCATATCTATATTATTTTTATGGATCAAAATGGTCAAAGGTATCTGATTTTCAAAAAATGAAGAAAATAACTTGAAAGATTATTTCCATTGGATACATTTGTATGTCAGAAGCCTATCAAAAAAAAATGTCATGGAAACTATAGTGACAAGGTCAGATGAAAGGCTTTAACCATAAACAAATAATGCAAATAATGTCGATCCCAGCCAATCACAATCATCGGGGCAAAGCCACTTCTATAAGTTAATGTTGTGCAAATGCTAAAATTGCTAAAATCAACCCTAAACACCACACCTCTCAAGAATTATTTTGAGATGGTTTGTATGTCTTCAGTATGTGTACAGTCTGCTTTTGTAATCATTTTTGCTTTCTTGGAAACAGAAAAATTATCTGTCTTCTATCTATTCATCTATTAATTTGAAGATAGGTTTATTTCTCCTTGGTCATCAGTTAACCTAACTTGATGAGTTTACAGCACATGTGCATTGGAAATAGTATCTTTGAAGATGTATAATATTTAAGGAAAAAATAAAAGGAAATAAATATTGTAAATATTAATGAAACCAGCTGAAAATAGCAAAAGAAATTTGAAAGTTGGCTAAAGAATCTGAGTCTCTATATTACTAAATTTTATTTCAATATTTTAAAGTACCTATTTTATTGCTTGAAAATTTACAAAAGAAACCCTAGAAGAATACTGAAGAAATACCAAAGGACATTTATGTGGTAAACTACACTTTGTTGTATAATCAGCATGTAAAAACAGTTATGAGGCTCAAAGTCCTCACTCTGCAGTTTTCCTGCTTGCATAAAGGAAACTAAACCCTCTTTTATTACTAATTCATGAGTTTAAACTATTGTCATTTTTATCACATCTGCTATAGTAAACATTGAGAAATACAACTGGATGATTTATTTTTCACTTACTTCGAAGATCATAAGTAACATTTCCAAGCAATCTTAAACCCATATTTTAAAATAATATCAATACAAATATTGTAATTTATTAATATTCAAATCATGATATAAATACAGATACTGAAACTTATTAATGATGTTGGGATTTCCATTTTACAGACAGGAAACTATGCCCATAGGAAAGCAAAGAGTGTGTGTAGGCTCATACAATAAATAGATGTCAACACTGGTATAAATTTTATGAATTAGAATTTTCTCAGCATTTAAATATGCCCCAACTTAAGAAAAATATCACTCTTATATTAAAATAATTTGAACTTATATGCCCATTAAAAGGCATATATATATTATATATTTAATTACATATTTAATATAATATATATATGCCTTTTAATGGGCATATAAGTTCAAATATATATAAAATTCTATTTTCTAAAATTCTAGTTTATTATGAAATTGTACAGTTAAGCCTCATTTTCCTTTACATGGCTTTATCTTGCGGCATGAAAATTAAGCATAAGAGCTTCAAAGGCTTGGAATATTGGCTCTGTCATTTACTCTTTAACAGTTAGTAAAGTAATAAAACTGAGTCTGTGGTTTCGACTGTAAAAACAGGATAATACCTATATTTACTTTATAACGTAATTAAGAGCATTGACAGATGACTACATTTAAATGGCATGATTAATATGACTAGACAAATTATCTATTATCCTAATTTTTCTTAAAATAATATATACAATAAAGATGAGTGAAGATGAGATCTGAAAATTACATTTTTAAAGAGAAAAAACATATATGTGGCTTGCCAAATTCCATGTCTTATATTACATTTAACATAGAAGCTGTAACTTTAAAAAGCCAATTTTTTTTTAAGGAAAACAATGCAGGCAGAGATTTAATAACCTTTGCAGGGTCACATAATTAGTTAGAGAGCAGAAGCGGATCTCCAACCCAGGGCTCTTCTCACTATTGCTGAAACATACTGGACCACATCTTCATCTTGAATTCATCTTCAGTGGTTGAGCTTTTTAGCCTCTGCCTTTAAATTTGATGATGCAGACTCTTCCTTCCTAC